AAAGAAAGAAAGAAAATGGGACATTTCTATATCTCCCGTTTTCTGCTGGGCCGATTGAAGAAATTCAAATTGCGTTTTCATTTCTCGAAAGCGCGACTTAGGATATATATTAGATTTATATACAGCATTATTCTAATATGGGTATTCTGACACAAAATAGACATTTTCTGAAATAACATATCATTTTTTTTTTTTTTTTTTTTTTTTATATTTCGATTCTACGACTCAAATTATACCTAAATATAAGATTGTGCAAAATTTACGGAGAAATTACTTGGCGCATTTTTTTTTTTTTTTTCAGTTTGCGCCAAGAATAATCCACTTGGCGAATTTCATAATATATGGTAACCCATTTTCCTTTAACTTCCTTTGTGCAGGAGTGGGAAAAATTGTGCATGAGCAGTAGAAAAGTAATATCGCTTCTACTTTCAAATAATTTTAACAAAGTGACTAAACCACATTTGATTAAAAAAATATGCCAAATTTCAAAACGCACCAAGATATAAATTTACGTATATCTTCGGAAATTTTGAATAAAAGACTGTAATTTTTTGCAGATATGCTTAGAAGTACATCTACGTTACGATGATGGTAACATTTTATAGATTATAGTACAAAATGTTTTCGGAAAATTTATAAAAACTATTTAAAATACAAATATTAAAAATAAATCATAAAATATACTCGACTTTTATTTGGAATGAACCTAAATTTCGAAATATCAAACGAACAATCAAATAAGTTTAATAAAAAAAGAGATATTAATAAATGTATACAGAATTCAATTAACATTGAGGAGCTAAAATTTTGACAGCTACTTTTTTAAAATCTATTCGTGCGATTTTTACAAAACGTGGCAGTTTGCCACAGTTTGAGACCTAGAATTGAAATATGGAAATAAACTGGCGTGTTATTTAAAAAAAAGTCCGATTTTGTGTCAAAGTACCTATACTAGAACAATGATATATATAAATCTAATACATATCCTAAGTCACTCTTTCGAGACATGAAAAATGCAAGTTCAATTTCGTCACTCGGCCCAGTAGAACGGGATATATAGAACTGTGTCTTTATTTTTCGCAGTGTACATTAATTTAAGCATTTTGCCCGAGAGAAGGTTTCGGAAAGTTTTTAGTAGACGTAATCTTCTTTGCCTGCTTCTTAAGTCCTTCCTTAGCTGTCTCTCGAAACACTTTCACATTTTAAACTTTGTTGATACTCGCACCTGTTGTGACGTTATCTGGTTCTATCAGGTTCAATGTTCCGCCTTACTTTCTTTGGGAACATGCACAGACGTGACTCGGAACAGGGAGCTTACTAAAGCTATGTTCAATAAATGTGGGAAGTAGACAAGATACACAAGAAGGGTATACGAAACCCTTTATTTTTCACTCTTTACAATAATTTCCGTACTTCGGAATACAGAGACCAACTACTTCTGGTCTGAACGTAAGAATATAAAAATATTTAACTAAACTCTAACTTAACTTTGGAATAATAAACAAGCGCCTACGTGGAAGATTGGCCGTATATTAACAGAAAGCCGTATGTAGTACAGAGAACTGTTAACACTACAATACGTTAAAAATTATCACGAGGATTAAACCTCTGGCCTGGAAGGCAACCAGCAACCGAGTAAAACTTCTAAGGCAAGCGGCCTGCTTCGACTAACTCCTTCCTCTCTCTCGCTTGGCAAAAAGCCACAACTTAAGTACTTGGCGTTCGCCAGACAAATTTTGCATAAATAAGTTAAAGCTTTTAATTCTGGCCGGAAGTAGAAAATAAGAAGTGATAGTAAAGATTTAAAATAAAAATAAACGTTAGTAAAACTTAAGTTCCTTACAGTTTTTTTTTTTTTTTTTCCAATTTGAACTTCAGTGGCTACTGCCATAATTACGCATGACTTTTTTCATATGTATTATTATTACCTTGCGATTCTAAATCAACTGTTGATTCGAGAGTAGTGCCTTCATCTTCTGTATTAACCATGCATTCATTATTAATATTTATATTTTTTCGAAGTCCACTTAAGTGGTCGTGCTACTAATCAAATTACGTAACAAAACTGAGTTAGTAAGTCCCAGCTTCATAGGACAAACAAACGTAGCTTCGTAGGGTGAACATTTGATTTCCTACTGATGTGCTTTGTTTTTCATTTCTTGAACAAATTTTAATCCTTTCTACTGTTTTGCTGTCTTACTTGTTTCCACCCATGTAACCAATATTTTCTCAACGTCTTGGTTCGCTCGTTCGATAGAATCTAGCAATTGACAGTGTCTCTGTTTACCGTGAGCTGTTTTTATATCACTCCCCATTCCACGTAAACTCTTTGATTTGCAAGATAACAAATTTCCCTTCCATTGTCGGAATGAAGAATGTTCGAGGCTCCAGAAGTTGTGAAAATATCCAGAAGATAATATACTGCTACATTAGCTCTTTTGCGGATGGCCAAATTTTGATAAGATGATCTTGATATACTAAAATGAATTTAATATCACAAACAGGATTGGGCTGCATAGCTATTAGGTTGACTTGACATCGAGAATTCATCGCAAGTACATGATGATAGATACTACTGTTACATTCTTGTACTTTCGATTTAGGTCCTTAATATACGGGTTCTTCCACAATGGCGAACTACGCTCTGAGTATCGGTATGACGATGAAGAATTCATCAGGTGTAACATAATACAGAATTTCTGCTTTTTCTGCAGATAGTGGTGCTAGTTTTCTCCTCCAATATTTAGAACATTATAGCATTTTAACCTTCTGTAATGAACTGTTTGTTTATCCTTCACACATTTTGCTTCATTTATTAAAGAAGTGTACTTCGCATTTGGTAAATAAAAGCTGTTATCTTGATTATTTTTTTGCAGATTCAGACAAAATGTCGTAAACTTTTTTCCGCGTAACATCATTCATTTTTTTCTTGTGTTTCTTTATGCGACATGTTTACTTTATGTCGATTTCTCCGCGACGTTTTCATCGGCAATGTTTTGCCTGCAACCTCTATTTTTACATGTGGAATGGCCTATCTCCACTCCTTCACGCTGATGTGAAAGGACAGCGTAAAATGAACTCGCGCACAATGATTATTTAAACGTCTATTAAAAATCATGTTATGTATTGTAAAACACCTAATTTATTAAACGAATATTTTCATACCATTTGATGTATAATCTCTTTGGATTATCAAAATTAAGACAGCTGTAATGAAGCATCGTACTATAAAAAAGACAAATAAGAAAATTGTTTATTTTTCTTACTCCATTAATTGTTGTATAAATATTTACAATATTTCCATGAACGTTTAAAGCATCTCTGAATTTAATCCATTTATTACACCCAACACATGCAAAACTTGATCAAATTACCGACAATAAAAACTAAAGATACTGTTGCTAGAAGACAAATAAACCAATCACCACAATGAAGTTATACCATCGTCATGTAAAGATTTTTTTCAGAATGGTGAGGTATTGAAAAATGTCTTCCATTTTTATCTTAAGAACTTTTCCAAAATCTGGCAGGCCCTGTATTGCTAATAACATATATAAGTTATATACACCTTTTGTTATGTAGCAACATCTGACACATTAATATGTTAGCTACTTTAGAATAATTACCTGTAACATTCGCTAGAAAAATGGTCAGATCCGAACTTGGTTCTCTAATATGGACGGTTTTGTTTTCATTAGTTGAGTAAATTGTAATTATTCTAACATTATTGACTTGGAGAAGTATTGATCGACATTTGAGTACTTCTCGAAGCAGTATTAAATTTCATCATATAAATAACATGATAATGAGCCTATTTTTAAAATATTTATTATCTTCCATTGATTTCTTACAGTGTTCGAACCATTTTTCTCCCTCAGAGTTTGTTTTACGCGTCTCGTGTCCAGAATTTTATTTTTAATCGCTTCCTTGCAGTCTGCCATTAGATGTACGCACGAAAATATTATATTCTCTTAAAAATGAAAAAGAAAAATTTTCAAAATTATTTCTAATTCAGTGCATTTAAAGATTTTTTCAGTGTCATTTTAACATTATTTTAGTTGTGCACTTTTTAATTCAGTATATTTTAATTTTTAATTCAGTGTATTTTTATTTTTAATTCAATGTCATTCATATTTTAGCACGTAATAAAACAGTAAAAATTAAAATTCATTCATAAAACAATCATAAAACATTCGATCTATCTAATTCAAACATAACAAAAAAATTATCCCGTGTTTTGTATCTTTTAATCTTAAAACAAACAATTTTCTCCTTAGACAAAATAGAAAAAAATATTATTTTCACAATCATCAAGATACATTGGATAGCAAATTTAAGCTCCGCCTCTTCTGAAAATAATATTTATAATGTTTAAGAAAGTTTATAGCCGTTCTCAAATTCCTTTCGAAATGTGCTTATAAATTAATCGTGCGTAAAAATTTGAAAATATAACGCTGATTTTTCTTGTTTGACTTCTAAATTAACACTTGTTCGGCGTGTTATTGTAACTTAATTTCTTGTCTGTTCTGCATTTCGTCGCCCTAAGTGGTCACCCATTCTCGTCCCCTCCTAAAGCCGCTACAGAGTATAATAATGTGAATGCATATCCTTTGGTTAAAATACTCACGAATAAAAAAATGAAATATTGCTTGGTATATTTATAATGACTTAGAAAACACACTGCTGTGTTAGAATTATTACAATTTCAATCTCCGTTTCCGTTTAAAGTCAATGCATTTTTCATGTGTATTTAAATCACAGAGATCCACCAATTTATACAGTGGTGGCCAAAATTGTGGACACTTTCGGAAATTTTTATGTTTTTGAACTTTGTATGCTTATAGAAAACGTTACGTTTCACAAAATGCAAACTTGTATATATCATTTTCATTATGCAAATTTCTCTGCCATAGTTACGACGCGAATTCATGTACACACCTGCTATATTCAAATTGCTTTATTGAATGCTCTACTGTTTTTCGTAACGGATTACAGATGATTTCTATTACTGGATTAAAACTTATCTACATAAACGACGGTATCTGCTGATGTATACATTTAAATTCCTTATTTTGACAAGAACGAATTTCATAAAGACTTGAATTACATTTACCATGACTTAAAACCTTACAGACAGAAGGGACTTACATGTTCTTCTATTTGATTATGATAACAAATAATTTATGCAATGTCCGAATTCAGAAAAACCAGACATGAAGAAAAAACTGACTTTAAAAAAAATTGAATCATATTTGGCTTTTTGCAGTTACGCAGATATATCTGTCACAACAATTCAAGCCGTCGGCGTATGAAATGCAACGATTTATGACAGTTTATGACATTAAAACCAAGGATAAAGGGAAACGACTTTAAGCATCTCTTCCGCTTCAGAGATTTTCAGCCAAAAACGTGAGTGTACGAGACATCTTATGTGGAAGATTTGAGGACTGCTTTTCAATATTTCGCATATATTTATTCAGAATTAATTTCATAAGTACTTCTGGATATATTCTGCATATTGTTTCCTGAAAAATGGAATAAATATTATTCAGAAATAAGTAAAACATAATTTTCACAAAACATTGAATTTGAAATGTTTTGAATTATTTAGAAGGTTATTTGGATTTTATTAATATTGTTCGAAAGTTTGGAATTGAACTCAACTATTCCACATCATAAATGGACTGTAAATTCTTTACCCTTCTATTTATTCATCTAATGAAAGGCAAATCATCTGTATAAAAGTAAAATTTGGAGTTTCCAAATAAATGAAAAGCACCAAACATATCTTAAATAAAGGAAAATTTTCTTGCATATATATATCTTAAATAAATTCAGATTTTAATAATTAAACCTAAAAACACTTCGACGAAAACAAAAGAACTTATTACTTCACAAATGTTCCTAGTATTCTAGTTAACCTTTACAAATGACCTACATTTGTATCTGTTTTAGTCAACTGAAAGAAATCCGGAGAGAATTTCGCTTTCACGAGAAAAGTATCACAATCAGAAATTTAGACTATCTTCTGCGCAATAATTACAAAAGGCTAAGACTTCAACTGAACAAGAATAAAATTTAAGATGTATTTCTGGATTGCTTTCATATGCTATTCGAAACTGTGGGGAAGAAACATCAGAGTTTAAACACTGAAACATATACTTGCAACAGAAATCAAATTCAGTCTTTCGATATTGTGGCAAGAAAGCGTAGAAATTATCGACTGGGAAACCTAACCTGATGCTCAGTGTGTTTATAAATGAATGGTGCAGTTTTAAAAATTAGTAATAATAAATGTCTTATCTTACCAGTGTAAAACGTCGAGGTAAGCATTCGCAACTGTCCAAGTTTCTCATGTGCTACCAGCACGTTGCTTGTTTTGCTTACTGCACAGCTGCAGCATCAATTTCCAAGATGGGGGCAGAACGAAAGCTTCTTAATCGTGTTCTTCAGCAACACTGAATTGGACATGCTGCCACAGCAGACCACAACCTTCTCCGATGGCCACCCCTTTTTCACAATTTAACACCATGCGATTTCTTTCTTTGGAGGTTTCTTAAAGATGGAGTTTATGTACTGCCAATGTCCGTGTCTCTTGAGGAAGTCTATGGTCAGATGAAGCATGCACTTCCGCTGTTGAATCTTATAGACCGTAGGGGAGGACATTCTATACCAAATATGGAAAGAATTTGATTAACATATAGATGTGTGCCGTGTCATCAGAGGTGCACATAATAAAGGATTGTGACCAGGGCTGTACATATTAAGGGATTGCAATTAAGGGGGTTCATACACCTTAAACCCCTTACGATCTTCGAATATGTGACTGTTGCAAGAATTGAGATAACTTATTTATTTTAAAAGCAATTACTTCCAACGTTTTATGGCTCACTACATAATATAGCTGCTTTCTGAAATCGTAATCAGGAAGTTGGTATTGCCACAAATATTTTTATAATTTAATCCGCTTTGTGACAAAACCTTTCGTCGTGTTTCCACCTTGCGCGCACAGTTTAAAATTATCTGTTGCATTATTTAATTCCATAGTTTATATATAGCTTTTATAACATTTGGAAACTACTGTAAACCAAAGAAACTGAGAATTTCATGTTAAATTTTATTTTATTTAGAGTTGAGTTTATAAAATGTATTTTATTAAAATATCTGTAATATTTTCGTGCATAAAATTATTCAGTATTAAAATATTCATCATATTTTTGGTTCAGTTAGAGAATAGTGCTCACATAAAGAATTCCATCCAATTTCAAGTATGTTCCATTAACCATTTTTAAAATATCATGCACGCAAGGTGGAAAAATGACGAAATATTCTGTCACAAAGCTGGTTAAATTACAAAAATATTTGTGGCAACACAAACTTTCTGTTTACTAGTTTCCAAAGCAGCCATATTATGTAGTCAGCTGTAAAAGGTTGGAGGTTATTACTTTTAAAATAAATAAAATATCTCAATTCTTGCAACAGTCACATAATTGGAAGCTCATAAGGGGTTTAAGGTGTATGAGCCCCCTTAATGCAACAAAACCTTAAGCAGTCGCCTTTGCCTATGCTGTAAGATTTGCCCATATAAAGTAACCTATCGATTTATCATTAACATTTAAAACCACTCCATTCATTAAGAAGCACCCTCTATTACCACACAATGGCGACATAATATCCTTTTACACACGAATCTATTTACTAGCCTCCAGAAAGATTTATTGTCAAAATTGTTGTTTTTGAGTTTAACGGTATTTTGTGAAATGTATTTTAAAACTCCAGTATATTTACGTATACTTATTTTGCTCCCTTTAGTAGTTTATTAATCATGCAATATTCATCTAAGACCTGTAAAACCTGAGACATTAAGGTGATTTGGAAGCAGGTAAGATAAAAAATAAGCAAACGCCTTTGCCAGGAATTGAACTACGGACCTCTGGAATACCGACCCAGCGTGCAGACCCACTACACCACGAAGGCATGCTAGGGAAGCGGGAGAAATGCCTTAGAGACCCAAACATTTCTTCTCAAGTTTCGGAATCAAATTTATCTCGAACTTTTAAATTTAGTGTTGCAACAATCAAGTAGGAAAATTTTTGTGCTGTCGCAGCGTCCTTACCAGCGCGATACAGAACATCTGTATTTGGTAACATGTTACTTAGGAATGCATTGATATCGATGCAAAATGCTAAACTTCCCAAACACGTAGTTAATCGGCTATTCATCATGCATATATCTTATGATCGATATTATTTACTGCCTCTTCCTTTGCATAGGTGAAATAGTGTCGACATTTCTTCATGTATTTTTATTACTCTAAAATCACCTAGAACCACAAATAGAAAAGGCACCTGCACTGATAGGTCATCCAAATATTGGTCATCAGTTTGCTTATTTGGAAGCAATACAGAGCGTATCATTACTAAGAGTTTTACGTATATCTGTATAACGTTTGCTTAAAGCGTTGATAGTAACGTATTTATTTACATTTACTGGGTAATTAAGTGAGTAAAAAATAACTATGTATTTTAAGATCTTATTGCGCATACCTTTGTATTGCGTACATTGAGTGCTGTACAAGACCTTCTGGTCTTAGTAGAGATTTTTGCTCTGCTAAGCTTATTAAAAGGGGAACATTAGTAACGTGTGCGATGCTATGACAATTTCATTAACTTAAGATGGTCATAAGGATTTTTTTATTTTGATGATGCTAAGCTTTCGTTTTGTAGAAATGTTATAGGACAGTGCACATGTACCTGGCTTTCACACTTTTCGGCACATCAAGGGACTTGGAGTCAAAGATCATGTGCTTCGTGTTAATAAACTCCTTATCTCTACGCATATTGATCCGCCTGATAGCACAGACATTACTGTCGGAAAATTCATTTATAAATTTTCCCCCGATATGCGTAGGAGGTTAACTTCTGTGATAACGCCTCTGTTACAAGTGAATATATTATTGATTGAAGCGTTTGCATCGGTATGACATATTTTGTTAAATCGAAGAAGATACTAGGAACACATAGGAAAAGTCGAAGGTCTCCATACCCAAGATGCTTGTTGTGATTTGATTCTTGGTACACGTAACCTAACATACTTTTTATTCCGAAGAGGAATTAATGTAATGTAAAATATATTTTACAAACAGTTAGAAGGAATATTGAAAGCAACAAAGTTGAGAGAATTGATAATCTGGAATCACTTTATATGTACATTTATATTTGCCTTCTTTGAAAAGACGCAGTTTGAACAATGCTGTTGGAACAGTCTTGTTGAAACAGTACTGATTGTTGTAACAGTATTGATTGTCGGAGCAGTGTAAGGTAACATTATAGTAACAATAAGAAACATTTCGAGGTAACATTATAGTAACAATAAGAAACATTTCAAGGTAACATTATAGTAACAATAAGAAACATTTCAAGGTAACATTATAGTAATAAGTATAAGAAACAATATTAAGAAACATTTGGAAGTTGTTAGAAAATACTATCTGGCGTATGTATTTTCATAGAAATGCATTCTTGTTAAATTTTACTATACTTACATTGATTATTGCAAACTGACTGTCATGGGAATCTACGGACTACATTTCGCACTAGACATAACTAAGGATATTAACACTGACGCGGTAAATTCAACAATATATACTGCAGGGGGAGTGATCATATGATCCTCTCTGAAACTGGAAACTGATCGATGGCAGCTATCATATGCTCTAGTAAATATTAATAGTTTATTAATATGTTTAATAACCACTCCAAGACTGCTTAGTGATATATACTCAGTTGTTATCAAAGCCCTTCTAGCAATCTGGTAGAGCTAGTTGTTAATATAAGTACAATTTACATTAAGAGGTATTTTGGTTGTTTCTGGACCTAAATGTTTTATGTTAATAAAATTACGTTTTTTCTGTATGGACTCAGTTTATCTAAAGTTCAAGTATGAGCACTTTAGATTTCACAAATAAATGTGTAGCTAGCAAATATTGTTTAATATTAATTAATAGATATTCTATATTTGATAAAATTGTTATCAATTCCCAGTTTTCATGATCGTAATCTCGCTCACCGCTTATCTTACTCTGAAATTGAACTTTCGTAAATTCGAAAGACAAAGTCGAAAATCAAATATTAATTTATGTGTCTGGAATCAAATTTATTTTTAATCACAAGTTTTTGTTGCACTATGTGTGATAAATTTTACTTGTTCTAGGCAGGATTTTAGCTGCGCTTACTAACAATTACCTGAGTTTACTGACAAACTCAAATTAGATGTAATTAGAGTTTTTGCTTTATTGTTACCATGGATTCTTCACTTCTCCTATGTCTAATTTTACTGATATTTGCTAGCGTTTCCTCTTTTAAATATTTCACCCAATTTTCCGAAGAATAAAACGCACATCGCTAAATTCTTCCCTAAAAAATATATGCGTCCCATGAGTCGATACAAAGATTTTTAAGTATTTTAATTACCGTAAACTGTATATATATATATATATATATATATATATATATATATATATACTAATATATTACTCGTAAACGGTTGCAAATATGTAACATATATATATGTAATATGTGTTTATTTAATAAATAATCTAATTACCGTTTTTTTATACCAATTGCCCCCTGGGCGAAGACGCATATTAAAACCCATTACTATAGTAACGGTGCGTTTTGTGTATTTTTACGGTTGCATACGGCATGCTCTTATGGTTTCAATTTGCGAAAATTTTTCGTTTGGCGAGTAAATACAAATTATGGTAAAAGTATTTTAATAGATAAGTTTTTATGGTAATCCAGATTTACTGTCAGTTTTTATTAAAAAAAAAAACCCGGTTTTAAAATGCATTTCATACTTCCGGTTTAATATTATTATTTATTTTTATTAAATAATCACCGGCTTTTATTAAAAATTTAATTTTTTATTTGAATAGAAAAATTAATGTTGGTTTATGATTTTTTTTTATACAATTTTATGTTGGTTGATGATTGTAATCAATGACGTCACCTTAATTTAAAAGTATCGATGGTTTAATAGGTAATCACCAACTTTAATTCTAATTTGTGATTTTAAAACACTATTTATGGGCTGTTATACATTAATCAAATTAAAGTATTCATTTATTTTGTTTCGTAAAAAAAACCAGGATTTTATTAGTGAAAATTAAATAATTTTAATTTTTGGTGAGTAAATGTTGCTCCCTGATTTATTTACGAATATTTTGTGCAATTTTAATAACCGGATTTAAATTTTTTATTAAACTATTCGAATTGTCATTAGATGAAAACATTTGGGAACGGGATATGTCAATTTCGAAGATTGGAATGTTCTTGGTAATTTAGAAAGGTTTGGTTATTGGACTCAAAAGAAAAAAGCTTGAGTAAGTTATTGTGGACCCCCCGTCTTTTGTACTAGCAAAGATTTATTTATGAAATTGTGTTGTGCGACCTTAGGTTTTTCCCGATATCGAGCTGCCTTAAGAAAGAACCCAAGAAAAATTGAAATTGCTTTTTAGAAGAAGTGTGAAAGGAATGGGGAAATTTGAAAGAGATGGATTAAAGAGTCTCGACGAAAGAGAATGATGAATTCGATTTTTGCTTACAGAATATCAGGAAAAAAAAGACGAGGTAAATTACTCAAAAAATGTAAGTACAGACTTTCTTTATTTTACTAATTGTTTACTTGTAATTTTTAAAAAATAATACACTATTTTAAATTGCGAATTAATTTTATCAAATACTTTTGGTAATTATATTTAAATTTGGAAATTGTAGAATATGTTAAGCTTTAATCTCTAACTGTTGCACGTTTGGTATTAAATTCATATTGAGCTTCATAATTTTTTTACTTGCTAAAATAAACGTTGTTTTATTAAGCTGATATTATTTAGAAGTAAAGAGGAGAACGTATTAATTCTTAGTCAAATATTTTTCAAATATTATGCAACCAACAAATTATCCATTTTAAAGATATTCATTGTTTTATAAGTTAACTAGAAATGTTATTTATTAATAGCCCATACACGATATTAGCAATCTTAACGTTGTTTTTAAGTGTATACTAGATTAATAATGTTTCGAAATAAAACTTTTTTTTTTCTTCCTGCCTCACTTTTCCTCGTCTCCCTGGTTTAAAAATCTAAATTCAATCTTAACAATACATAACTTTACTTTATAATCAAATATGGTAAGTTAATGGAAGGCAGGGAGAAAACGCTAATCTTTGATTTTAAAGTACTAATTATGGATGGCAAATGTTGTAAAGACACGTGCTATAAATGGTTATAATGGTGTGAAGGGAGGCGACCGCCCGTAACTAAAGTCTTTATTTCGAATAAATAAATTTTTATTGTGATTTGTTTGTTATTATTATTGCATGTTTTTACTTTAAATATTCATAGAAAATATAAACTCAACTTAATACTAAACTCATTTCATTGAATAAATATAACTATGATAATAATCCTTCCGCTTACTATCTGGATGGAAGAGTTATTTAAAATTCACTTTAAATTATTTACATTAAAATTTGCGATAATGAACTTTTTAAAGCATTAGAACATTAATTTTTATTTTAAACATTATAATTCGAGCTGCAAGTTAAGACATACTTTTATACTATATGTAAACACGGTTTTGCAGTTTTTTTTTTTTTTTGTTTGGCTCGTGGGGAAAATGGAAAAATATAGCAACGTTCTTTTTTTATCTAATTTATCGTCTTCGATCGCAATGTTTTCCTTCATTCATCATTTATTCCGAAAACTCTTCTTATTGTAAGTTTGAGTTCTGTATGTAAAAACCATGAAGTTATCCCCCGTTTTACATGAGTCTTCACCAACTGAATTGCTAGTGAAATCTTTTCGTTTTATTTTCGGAGCCAATGGGATAAGATTGAAATAATACGAATGCATTTATTACACATATAACCAAGTTTCTAAAGAATATTGCCATAGGCCAACGTCGGGTTCTACGAGCAGTTGTATAGATTGAACGAAGAATAATACTGTGACTACGAGTTCGAACACCCTTGTTGGGCAGTTGAATAGACCATTTGAATTCATTTTGTCCAATAAAAAAATCTCTTACAGAAGGAGAACACAAATTTTCATTTTCATCGGCAGATATTTCTGAATTTGTGTCGTGGTCGCTCTCAATAATTTCATCATGGGAACTTTCATCAGAGAACTCTAAATTAGATCAATTTCGAACTATTTATTAAAATTGGTCTTGGGTAAGATATATAGAACGTTTCCTGCACGCATTTGAAGCAATTTCAAGAATATTTATAAAAAAGTTAAATATGTAACAACAATGAAAAGTGAACTTTATCGGCAGAAATTTGAATCGTATCTGCTGTGATCGGTCCCACAGACCGCTGAGGGGGAAATTTTTTTAAAAAATAAAAGAAGAATTAGAGCTAGCCAAACGCAACTTGGTATGTGACCTTGGACAACTGTTTTAGGAAGGTATTAAGAATGGAAACACCCATTAATTATTCTAAGAGGTGGAAGCATTTAATGGAAAATGTCGCGCGGTCTGACAGACCGCTCTCAGCAATTAAAGGTTAAACCGTTACTCAGTAACGTGAGATATTGTTTTAAAAGATTAGAATTCTGAAGTTTTTACAGCTAGGAGTAGTATAAAAATTTTGCCACTTAAGAATTGTATAAATTTTGCCACTTAAGAATTGTATAAATTTTGCCACTTAAGAATTGTATAAAATTTGTCTATCACCGTGAACTAGAAATAAAATTTATGTTCTACTAAGAAGATTGTCTGTTTTGTAAATTACTGCAAAATACATTACAATATATATATATATACAGTTTACGGTAATTAAAATACTGTATATAGTTCTCTATTGCCTTTTGTTTTGCTTTACACTTTATTTTCCTAATAGTTATTTTTATTTAGACACAAGCGTTTCATTTATCTTCTCGTTTCTCATTATCGTTTTCCTGCCAGGATGAGTTTTCAGTGTTTCGATTTATGTAAATGAGGTAGAAACGAGTATTTAAGCTCTAGTTTCTTACATAGGAGAGAGTGTTCCGCCTTTGCGTTCAGTGTAAATTGTAAACAAAGTGATTAATGCTTCTTTGAATCTTAGAAAGGCGAAAATACGCACATATTGCGCATTGTCGTTATCCACGACATATCGCCGAAAGCAGAATGCGTTGCAAAAAGTACTATGAGAAACAATTATTCGGACAAAATGGAAAAATGTTGTCCCACTAGATGACTCTTGGTTACATTTAGATGACAGAAACAAAAGAAATCCATTTTTTATCACCAAAAAAGAAGAATGAATTCTTAGAACATGGCTCAAAGAAACTGAAGAAAATTTTTTCAAAGCGATTAATGATTTTCCTGGTTTTTAATGTAACGACAAATAAAAATTAAAGAGAGTGCAGAAACGTGTTAAGGTCAACTCCACATATTATCAGAAACATATCTTATACTCAATTTTTAAATACGAAATACCTTTTCTTGACCCACAGTGGCATCGATCCAGTAGAACTGCATCAAGACAAAACAAGCAGCCGCACGTCAAACTCCACTAATAATTTCCTGGAAAACTTTACTGTTAATTTCCTGGAAAAAATGGAACAAGAAACGTGTATTTAGGCTCTTTCACTCATATTCTTAATAAATCTCTTGATATATCATCTACGGATTTTTGTGGTTTTATACTTTTAATAAGCAAATTCTACAAACATCGACCTACAACCCTAATTGGATTTTAGAAAGCTGTTCAAGAGGAATAGGATAAAATGCTTATTTCGATATTAAAAAATCTGATGTGTGCACCAAATGACTTCCTTGTACGGAATATTAAATTATACGCACTTTTTCTTGCATTTCATTTAAACGTATTGGACTGAATTAAATCTACTTCGTCGATAGCGCATAAACCACAATAGAATAAATACACCCTTTAAGTCTAAGTCACTAAATTTGTTTAGTCACACTCTTAAACCATTAGCCGCTGGTGTTGCGTTGACGCAACGGTCAAAATAAATGGATATATAAATATAACTACCTAAGATATTTTATACCAGCAGATGATTTTGTGTAGGAAATATTATGAAGATTATTTCTGTAAAAAATATTTGCCTTGAACAATCATTTTGTTTATGATAATTAATCTCCTACTTTAAGCAAAATATAAGCAAAATTTTCGACCGGGTATTTTTTCTAAAAATATTTAGCGAAAGAATCACCGTCTTTATGAGTGATCTATGTTTAGACAAGGTCACCGTTTATCAGAACTTTACATCAGTCAGATGTTTATATTTGTGTTGGGAAGGGAGGGAAAACAGGTATTGCGCTGACGCAACGTCAGCAGGAAACGGGTTGTCAATCTCCTTTTTCACTCATTCCTTTCGATGTTCTGGTTCATGTTCTGGTTATTTAAAAATGCCTAGAACGAGGTATCTTACATTAGAAGAAGCCCTTCAAAGTTTTTTTGATGAAGAAACATTGGTTTGTTTGTTTGCTGGTCTGTAATTTTGTGTTAGATGTGCTTACTTGTTTTTGATTTAGTAGTTTTGTTTGTTGTTTGGGGGTGGTTGGTTACTGGCTGCCCTCGTTTGTGGAGATACGGGGCCCCTTCGTTTGAGCTATGGGGACAATCGTGTCCAGGTGGGCTGAAGGTGGCCTCCAATTCTTACAATTCTTACATTTGTAACCCATGTATACAGAGTGATTCTAAATTGCTTTTACAAATTAAGAGTGGTGATAGTACTCATCCAGATTTGCAATAATTACCATAGAACATAGGGTCGCATTTCACTCCGAGAGGCAGAAAAGAGACATATTAGAATTCCAACCTGAGCTTACAACAATGTTTGGAGAGCCAATGAACGAGACCAACAGCTGCGCAATCAGTTTAGTGAAAAAATCACAGAGAGTACACAAAACGTATAAAACCCAAAACTTGGCGTTCGAATGTTCATTCGAGATCAGGCTTTCATGGCAAAACACTTAAAGGCACATCTTTGGTTCTCAAGGTTTGAACCTCGCAACCGATTACAAGAAGTTAATTATCTAATCAAGAGCTGAATGTTATCAACTAACTGCAACTCAAGGTAGGTTTGATATTATCAAGGTAGGAGGGTTTTTCTCCTTCGCCATTTTCTATCCGGTTCTGATCTTACTGTGCTGCGCTAATCCTACTGGGGGCACGAAGTTCTGACAGCCAGAACACAGCATGAACATATCATTCTAATCTCGGCATACAGCGGAAGTTGAAGTTAGTTGATAATACTCAGCCCTTAAATAAACTTCTTGCAATTGGTTGCAAGTGTTGTATAATTTATACCTCCAAATGTCTCGAGATGCAATGATTAATGTGATTTCCTTTTCTTTATTAGCTTGTATTCACCTCTCAGAGCGTTACCCGACGAAATCTATGTTTTAGGCAATCTGCCAACTTTAGAACTTCAGTTATAGAAGTTGTAGTAATGTTCCCTGCTGCATTGTGAATGCTAAACCGTTTTATTCTCCTAATTAACGCTGTTATCCCTACTATGAAGGTATAATTCAATTTATTTATTTATATAACAGCAAGAAGTTCATTCGCTCTCCCAACAGTGTTTTCAGTTTGGAATTCTAATATTCCTCTTTTCTGCCTCTCAGAGTGGAATGCGACCCTATGTTCTATGCTAATTATTGCTCATCTGGATGAGTACTATCACCCCTTTTAATTTATAAGATCAATTTAGAGTCACCCTCTGTATTGTGTGCGTATGTTTCTGATGATTTTGTGTGTGCGTATGTATGTGTGTAAAGACTTTGATAATATCTACAACATGGCCAAGCGATTCATGAAGACTTATGACGTAGTAGTACTTTGGTAGACGGTTACACGAATTTTTGGCGATTTACATTGGCGCATTTGTTGGCGCGGTTTTTACAATCGTCAGCCATCTTGAAAAACGCTGTTTTTACGTATTTTACGCATAGTAAAGTATTCGAAACTTTAAAAAAAAAATAATATTGTTAAAAATAATCAATTAATTTTTTGTTGAAAACGGCGTTTTATAAAATGGCAGGCAAATGTAAATAAATACATTTATTACGAGTATAAAATACAAAAGTAAGGTTAAATTATTACATTCATATAGCAAAGAAATATAATAAAAACACTGCGCCAACGTTTAATTGGGTTACAACATTAAATATTATTAAATTAAATAATTTAATAACCTTGTAACAAATTATAAATAAATTTTTGATTAGGAAAGCCTGGTTCGCCAAAATAAGGTCTCAAAGGACAATTTTTTGATTCCGATACCAATAATTCTTGGTACTTACCAATAACAACATTCATCTTCGAAACGGACATATCCATTGTTTGAAATCTAAGGAATTCGAAGAGATGAACAATAAAATTTTAAAATGGTGCAGTAATGCGCAAATATTCAGTAACCAATCAGGGAGCTGATTACAGCTCGTTAATCCATGAATATTCAGTAACCAGGAGGAGCTAATTACATCACGCATAGAATTAAAATTATTTAAATAATCATACATAATAAAAATCATTTTAAAAAATGCAAAATTAAATTGTTTTTAATATTTAACATCCATAAATAATGTTTAAAACATTAGATTAAATTTATAGATATTAAAAACAATTACTTTTAAAGTAAGGAGACGTCATTGATTACATTATCCACACCATAAAATTATGTAAAATATCATAAACAATAAAATTTTTATTTAAAATAAAAATGCAAAATTAAATGGATTTTTAATATTTAGAAGCCATAAATAATATTTAAAACACGGAATTTATGCATAATAAAACGCATTATTTTTTAAATAAAATGACAACAAAGTGTCGGTTACCATGAATAACTTGTCCAGCAATGTGTTTACCATAAGTCGTATCGTTAAATCGCCAAAATCCGTGTAACCGTCTACCAAACTCGCACCGCGGCCGTATTTCCTGAACATATATTATTCCTGATACAGGATTTCAGATAGAGATACGATTTAACCGAAGATAACGGGTGCTTTTACTTAGAATAACGCTTATTTTTGAAAAATATATTCGAAAAAAGGGCAATAGTAGGTAGCAGGTGTGTCAGCCAGAGAAGAGAGAAAATTGATATTATTCATTTATGATGCTAAATCTAGCTTAGGCTAAGTCAGTTCTAGTTAAGCTTCATTTTGATTGGCAGTTTAAATCGAGCTTCGTAAATTTCGGTTCGTAAATTTTTCAAATACGTTTTATCTGAAGATTCATGCAAGTGTCATCTGAATTAAAGTTATGCAAGTATCATATGAGGGGGATTATTTTTAAAATGATACAAGTTATAGAGATTTAATATAAGAAATCACCATTTTTAGGATGAATATGTATTTTATATCAATATTTCTCTGTATAATAATAATAATAATAATTTAGGATGGAAACGAAGATACAAATACTTCAGTCAAGACCAATGCTTTAGGTGGTGCTGGCATACCGAATGTATAAAAACGTAGCTGTAGTCAGAGGTTGCTGTCATAACGATTTAATAGAATTTTACACAGGACACCACAGTTATTAAGATGCATATTCAGATACACACGTAACTATGGGGCATTTCTTCATGCATCTTTCGTCACATCTTAGTAAATTGTCTGTGTTATAAGGCCAATACAATGGATGCAAAAACAAAGGTAAGCTACGCCATCTTAACAGGAAACAAACAAAGCAGGTATGTGTGACGCACTCCAAAAGAAACGATGAGAGAGGGTCAAAGGACTCTCTTTTTTCCAATTGTACACATTGCTTCCCTTTCTAGTTATTCATGAGAATTGCAGTTATGGCGAGTTATGGCTAATTTTTGTTTTCGAATCATCGTGATTAGCTAAGACATTGATACAAGTACCTTCATCTGCAACGCTGTATTGCATGGCATGAATTAAATTTGAAAATGACGCAATTTAATGAGATTTATTATAAGCAGTTACTATTTTAGGAGAGAAAGGGGATTTTTTAGGTAAAGCATTACAGCGTTAACAAAATGAAAATAAACTTTCTGTTAAATATATACAGTTGAATGATAAAAAGAAGAAAATAAAGGATTTTCCTCAAGTCTTTAGGATTAATTACGCCCCGTCATTTTGTTGTATAACTCACTCATGTATGAATAGTAAAATATGATGCCTAAGATTGGTAAACTAGATGTGGTGTAAAGGTATAACTTTATAAAATATGTAAAATAAATAAAAATATCGCTAGTGATAATTGTAACAAAATGTTTCCTCCGAGCATTTAACAGTGTTCAGGAAATTTAAATTTCTTCGTTGATGCTAAAATGTCAAGAAAGATACTCGTATATTTTGTTAGGCCTTTAGTAGGGCGGAAAAGTAGCTGTGATAGATACGGGCTTTCTCTGATTTCTTTCCTTACATAGCACAGACAAAACACACCCTTTTATCGATGACTAAACTGCATGACCTTCAATATTTCTAGTAGCCAGCTATGCTATGCAGATTTAACGTTATTCAGCCGATCGCCATAACTGCAATTCTCATGAATAACGACTAGAAAGGGAAGCAATGTGTTCAATTTACATAACTGGCGAAGGTTTGAC